GCTACATTTAGCTCATAAACAAAGATTAAATCTAGATAAAGATGTATATCTAAACAAAAAAATATTATATCAGTAAAGAAAATCAGTAGGTATATTGCAAATAAGAGAGTCAACTGCAGGACTACAACAAAAGACTAACTAACAAAGAGTGTGCTCCTTCAATTCAAATATGTTTTACTATTATTATTAAATAATTTATTGACAAATAACTTCACGACTATATCATTAAAGGCTTAGTCAGAGACATCAACAAACAAACAATCAATATACAAGTAATTCAAATAATATGTTGAGTATATTTCACTCCAGCATAGCATTAGCCTGTTATCACTGTCTCCATCATCAGAGAGTTAGTCAGAAACTACTCAAAAAATTGGAGGGTTACTCATTAAGAGGTTATTTGTCCATTAACAAGTTACTTATGATTGTATACATAAATAAGTTTGTATTATATATAAATTTATTTTATTAAAATAAATTCTATTAATATAATCGTATTTATAAAAATATGAAAGTTTGTGAGTATGAATGTATGGATGGATAGGATATATCCAAAAACATCTGAACGACTTTGTATGAAACTTATACATCAGATTAACACATAGGCTATAAATTTCTTGCAGCTGAAACCGCGGGCATAGCTAGTATTTTATATATCAAAACAGAATATTATAATAAAAAAATACAATTGTAATAATTGATCATAATTTTTTTAGATAATAACAATATTATCAGAGGCTTCCTTATCATAGGACATTTGGGTTCAATATGTCAGGGTCCCAATACTTGAATGTTTGGTTATTGAGTACAATGCAATTTCAATGAAGGTCAATAACCCACGTATTTGATAATAATAATCATATTTCTGACATTAATATAAAAAAAATAAGTTTGTATGGATGTTTAAATGTTAAATTAAATATACTCAATATTAATAAAAATAGAAATAGAAATAATCTTTATTCAAATAAACTCATTACAAGCACTTTTGAATAGTCATATTTTGATTCTACCACTCATTCAGAATGCAGATTCATCACAAGAAGAATGCTAAAAATTAGTTTATTTGAATAACGATTATTTCTAATCTATTCTAAGAATCATATTTTATGTTAATTATTTTTGTTTCTAATTGTATTATATCAGATATCAGGTACTACACTTGAGTGTGCACATTTTATACTAATCACTGCTGGGGAAATGAGTAGGTAACACCTAATTATAGTGGGGAAAGTGATTGTAAGTGATGGGACTAACAATCTCATTGCTAGCTATGTACCATGTTACATTAAAGTGTTCCTCTTGATATCATCATGATAAATTCCTGGTGAATCTATCGTGATGACCTCATGTTCATCCTAACAACCTCCACTAAACTTTGCGTTAACGGCTTACAGACCTCACTGGTGGCTGGTCACGAGAGTGGTTATCATCATCAATTAAAAAATACACTGATGAGGGCTTTATGTCACTGGCAGTTGTTATATTCGCTTAACCATATTTAAAATATGAGAGTTCTTTTTATACAATTGTTTTATTATTACTTATGTCACTGCACTCTGCTATAATAACCGTCTATACAGGCATCTCTATTATTTTCATGAATTTTTACTCTTTATTACCAATAGGGACTGGTTTATTGCTAGTGTGATTTCATGCTATCACCTCTACAAGCCTTTATGAATTAAACAGGCATGGTCATGGACAGGATTATGGATTGAATGACCTGGCCTCATTCTCATCCTACTGATGAATCACAAACATATACCATTAGAGTAGGTAGGACCACAATTTCAATATCATGAAAAAAAAAGCTATTTATAAATTACAGCTGAGTTCAGTACATAAGCATAATGTATAGTAATAATTGTGTAAAGCTTGTTTTTCAATGTATGTTTACAACAGAGTCCTATAGGATTATGATCTCAAAAAATCTGTCTGTATATGGATGTTATAGTAACACAAACTTATTGTCAATACTCAACAGTGTTTAACAACTCAGTAAGAAACTATAAGATTTAAGTTTATTCTCTCATACATCACATGTCATGAACATGCATTACAAATGTAAAAGAAAATATATGTTTTAAATACATTCAACAGTTTTGTAAATTGTTGCACTGTTAGGTTTTTATAGGCCACTGAGTAGATGTGATCGTTATCAGTTACATAAATTATGTCACAATTGTAATTATTTGTATAACAAAATAATAAATAATTGTAGTCTAGGCAGTTTCATAGAGAAGGATTGTAGTTCATAGAGGAGTGGAAGGTGCTACATATGAATGTGGATGGTTATAAGGGCAGAGGAAGGCCGAAAAAAAGATGGACTGTGTGATAGATGATATGGTAAGAAAGAGAGTAAATAACAAGATGACTGCGAACAGAGATGAATGGAAGAGAAAAACATATTACAACAGGCACAAATAAATGGGATAAGGAAGAAGCAGATGATGATGACAGATTCATAGGCAGGTGGCACGGGTAGTGATATAGAAATAGAAATAATCCTTATTCAAATAAACTTAATATAAGCACCTTTGAATAGTCAGATTTTTTTATTCTCCTACTCATTCAGAATACAAACTCATCACAAGAATGAACAAAAAACTTGTTTGTTGCTCTATGTGTGTGTAGTTTGGCCAAATAATATACTTTTCTGATTGACACTAGTAAGATATAACAATAATAATAATAATCTCAGGACAATTCACACAGTGGCACTGTCTAGACCCAAGATAAGCTAGCTAAAGCTTGTGTTATGGGTTAGTATATTTAATAAGTTATATTTAATAAGTTATCACAAAAATGTTAGAAATGTGAATCTACAGTTTATGTGTGACATGACTAGTGTTGTGCCCACATCCTTTTACAAGTATGTACAAGTTTTACAGTGATGTCCATCTTATAATTAGACTATGGACTATCCTAACAATGTGAAGAAAATTTTTAAATGAACTTGATTATTAAAATTTATTGACAAAGTTTTCAAATTCATCAATAATAATATGTAGTTTATGTTATTAGAATGGTAAACAAGCTGAGATAGTAAGGCTGTAAAACTGCTTAACCGCTGTGCTAATGATTTTGTGCTGTAGAAGAGTAAAAGATTATTTGGCATGTGATTAGTGTAGATTTCCTGCAAGCCTATTATCAGTCCACCACAGACAGTTTGAGCAGTGACTTAATATGTTGTTAATAGTCATTCCTCCTATTATACACAAGTAGGTATGTTATTTATGCCAAAGTCAAAAATAAGCCATTTTCCTGTATACTTCAATATATAATTGACACTATTAATACTATCTTGCTCAGAGATACAGGAACATTAATAATATCCCACTTAATAATATTATTGTCACTAAATACCAATGAGATTTGGTTTCGCAACTACATTCAGGAACCAATGCATGCACAGATGTTATCGGAAGTGTTAAGGGACTCCAAATCGAAGTTAATGTAGTACTCTAAAACCACTGTATACTTAAGAATATTATCAAATCAATGTAATATATACTGGACTTGTGCACAAAGTATAAACACTAAGATCTCAGTGAATATTAGTAAATAAATGCAGATATTCAATGGATAGAACAAAGACAGGTTTCAAAATCTTCAGTGAGAGATATTTGCTGCCTGGGATCTGTCAGAGAGCAGTTTTTGTTTACTGTTTAGAAGATAATATTCAACAAAGTCAATCATCATCATAAATAATCTAATTTATCAGATATACCTAACAAAATATATTTAAAAGTTGACGGTGTATGTATATAGTTGGAATAGTGTTAAATGCCATTGTTGTCAGGTAACACAGATGAGTGTGCTCATAGAACCGAGCAACAAGGACTAAGTAGCAACTAAGACATTGTATGCAGTGACTTCACCTGATCATGGGGCCGCCTGTTACATGGAGCGCCACACTGTCCCACAACTCACTGCACTCCACAATCACATTTAACACTAAACAAAACCGTTAAAGAATATAACAAGCCCCGCTGACAGCAGCTAAGTGACATCACACAATACACTGTCAAGATACTGCCGTGGACACTCTCAGAATCTCCACACTGCCACTGTTATGAACACACTCTGCACACCAAACTGTCCACTTGGAATGATCCTTATCACGGTTTTGTCACATTTACTGTGTTTGAGTAACAATAGTTTTAAAATCTCTCAACCTAACCTCAAAGTGGTTACACATAAAAATTGAAATTGACAATCACAGATGTTATGAGATACAATATTCACAACGTGACATCACTCCCACCGTCGTTTGTCGCGAAATTTCACAAAGAACCGAGCGGCTAGCCACGGCAGACTGGCAGTATGGATTTGTGGGCAAAATGCTTTGTTTGAGTAGTTAGGTACTAGCAGCCTTCACTGCACTGCACTACTGACTATAGCTACGTACGCGCGTACGTTATGCATGTGTAAAGCGAGGCATATATGCACCTAGCCATAACTCACTCGGACTCGGGCGTTTCGTGAGCGCCACGACGAGCCCGAGCCGGAGACGGATCGCGCGCCTCTCGCACCGCCCCCGAGACAAAGGGCAGCGCGACAGGTTTCGTGCGCCCCGCAAAAACTGTAAACACGATTCTGATTTACGATCCCGGCGGTCCGAGTCATTCATACACGGGTGGCACCGGGGCCGTGGAGCGGAGGCGGTCACGCTCGGCCGCCGCGCTGAGATCGCTATCGGACGGCGGCGGCGCCCTGGCCGCGCTGCCGCGACGCACGACGTCGCCGTGTCCTCGCTCGCTTCGCCTCGCGGACGATGCGACCGTTTCGAAATGGCGCAACGCGACGGAGGCCGTGACGCTGCACGAGCGAGAGAATGTCCGCTGCGAGCGAGAACCGAACGCGGACGGGACGTTTCGCAACCTCGGATGGGCTCACGGAGACCGAAATAATCCACGACGTAAGTCCGCGGGCGGAACGGCCGCCGCGGGCTGCGGGAAGCGGGTGCAGAACTGCAGTCGAGACTCGATACTCACGGCCTGGCCGCTCGCAGCGGGTCAGCAGCGCCGGCGTCCATGGCGCGCCCAGGCCCTGGCCGCGGCCGGGCTCCGGGCCGTCGGCCGAGCGACGCGACACTCTCTCCGATCTCACTCGAAACGCGACGAGAAACACCGTCGCACCATCTCGACGACACTACACATTGACCGCGACGCTTCTATACGCGTATAAACACTTCGCGAACGGTGTTTTGTTACATCGGTTGACTTTTCTTTGAAAAATCAATATACATTTTCCCCGAGTTTAGAGATACGGACGAGTCGATGTCCAGCGCAGGTTAGGTGCGTGAAGTTTGCAAGCTTTTTTAGCGCACCGGTGTTACCAACATTTTTTTGCCCATTTTTTGTTTTGGCTGTTGTGATTTTTTTTTTGTGATTTGTGATGCACTTCGTACTAGTCTGTGCCGTTAGGTCCTCCATAATACTCCAACGTGGCTTGCTCAGTGGCGCCAACATTTAAGTTTGTAATACGCGCGGCGAGTGACGACAACTTTCGATTTTCTGAGAGTGTATTTTCCTTGTAGTTTATTATTCATTGTGAGAATAGTTAAACCTTAATTTTACGGGTGTATATAGATGTATATATACATGTATTAATAATAAGAATAATATGATAATTATTTAAAAAAATAGTATTTTTATAATCAAACAATTAACAACTTATTAACTGACGGGCGAAAATAAAAATATTGTAACATGAAATTTTGCATAAGTTTTCTATAGATACTTACTAAAATACTAAATAATGGTATAAATTCCCACGATATCAGAAGATAACTGGCGAGCGAGAAGGCGTAACAGGTATCAAATAAAACAAAAAATTAGGGTAATAATTTAATATTCACTATGGACATCCTTCGTGCAACATTTATAATATTCATTTATAATATATATTAAAATTAGACACTTTACGAAATATATTTTACAGACGGTTTCATAAAACTCTTGTCACTGTTGTATTTGCGCTTCAGGGTTAAGTTGGAGGAGTTGAATCTCACTTTAAACAAAAAAAGTGAAGAGATCACACCTCCACTTAATCTTTTACGCTTTATTATCTTGAACTTGAACAGAAACTTGTAGTAAATCTGGTAAGCGAGTGTGATGACGTGATATAGCTTCACGCGTGAGCTGGAAAGATAGATCTGGCAGCATTAGATTAAACTGTCAAGATCCCCTGTCCAACTCAGACGTATAGCCAAGTGCGTTGTAGTCACCTCGATGTACCCTGAAAAATAAATTGAAAACACTTCAAGAAGATGGACCAAATATATATTTGCTATTTAATAACTGTTGGTGTGGTGTCACAGTTGAAGGCACGCGTTGCATATGGTACTATGGAGTCGCGCACGCTATCTAAAAGGTGCGGCTAACGTACTTTTGATAAGAGCGACGCTTTTCCCTGTCCTACCTATTCTGTTACAATTATCACTAAGCGTGATATTTAAACGTGTTAAGAGCAATTATTTCAATAATTTACTCCGACGAGCACATCACATGGGACCAGAAAACACATGTGCCTCGAAACACCATATGTTGTTACGTAATCACTATAATACTAACTATAACTAGTTTGATACGAGACACTAAATATACTTTTTAGCTGTTGGATACAGAGAGATTCACATCACTTGTGTGGTATGTCGGTCGTGTTATCAGCGGCCATGCCGGTACCAGTACGCTGCCACGTCAACCATATTTACGGACAAATATTTGAAAGCAACGCAGCAGATTATAAAATAGTATAGTGGAACGATACATAAACCAGTAGGTACGTACGTGTATGCGCTAATTACCAGAGGAGTGAAGTCCCGTTCCTGGCCAGTGGCGGTGGGAGGCACTGAACCACGCGGAGCTCGACACCACAGTCAATTGAATACACGGCTCACACTTCGATAGAGATCCGATCGATCGATCGCTTCATATTTATAGTTTCGATCATATCTCCAGATACGATATCAGGGAACTGACTCAGAAGTATTAATGTCCACCATGGCTATGATAAGATTTGATATTATAGAAAATCGATTGGTCCTCGCGGCCCGTATCAGAGCCGCAAACACTTCACTCAACCAATCGGTAAGGTGTCGTAGATAAGCGGCGACGCGTTGACAAATTGGTTCGGTGATGTGGAGCGCAGTCGGCGGCGCGGGGCTGCAGGAGCCGGCGCCGGAGTCCGGGGCTCTGGCGGGACGTCGGGCGGCAGCGCAGCCGTGCGGGGCTGCCGCCATCGCACCGCTATCTGCAGACGACGCTGCCACAACCATGACATGCTATTTGTTTACAGTAGAGATACACCTTTATTGCCTACTTTATATCTATTCGCTGACAGATAATTACTTTACCTATTACAGCTATACACTGTTATGTAATACAAAATTAAAAAACAATTATATCAAAAAGATTTAAAGTTATAATATACTTTAATAATACAGTCTTTATTATAAATTCATTTAAAAGAAAAATCACAGCTTTCCGCAGTACTAATTTTGCTTTCTAACAATGTTGAAATACAGTTACAAATATATCTAAATTTTATGTGTGGCTATAAATAAATGTTATATTTAATTTACTTTTAGCTATAAGCCGTGATACGTGGAAGAATTTCGACATGATACACCTTGATAAGGTGACAAAAGGCGCGTATCAAACGGTGTCACACGATAAGTGATAAGAGTAGAGGTGTGCGCTTTCTGGAATACACACGTACAGACAGGTGGACAACTCGCGTAGATAATGTGAAACTTAAACATATAGATTTCTAACTAATTGACACAAATAGTTTTGCAGAATAAACAACCTATATTGAAGTGGCAGGGATGCCATGTTTCTGTCTAACACCTCATTTTACAAAACGCCATATCACATTTTTCTGATAACTATAAAAATACTCCTAAATATAAATTGAAGTCAAGTCATAGATATTTTTATAATTTTTTATCATCATTATATAGTATAAAATAAAGTCGCTGTCGCTGTCTGTCCCAATGTATGCTTAAATCTTTAAAACTATGCAACGGATTTTGAAGCGGTTTTTTCTATAGTTAGAGTAATTCAAGAGGAAGTTTTGCGAACTCGTGCGAAGCCGGGCGAGTAGCTAGTATATTATAATTAGAATTTCATCTTTGACTTTCATAAGCGGCTAAAATGTCCTACATGAATGAATTATTTTTTAATTTGTATTTGAATGGTAAGCTGATTTACCATTTGGTTTACCATTAGGTGGGCCCCTAATGGTAAAAAGTAACCAATTAAGCTGTAGAAGTGACTAAATAAAATTCATACCATTCTACTTATTACAAATATTATAAACGCCTAAGTTTATATCTAAGTATGTATGGATAGATGATGTATGGATATTTGTTACTCTTTCACGCAAAAACTACTGAACAGATTTCAATAAAACTTTACAGTAATATATATATAAAACATGTTTGCTTAAATCTTTAAAACTACGCAACGGATTTTGCGAAGTAGATAGGTGATTCAAGAGGAAGGTTTATATGTATAATACATGTATAATATAAGAAATACTGATAAACTTAGGTAATTACGTATATTTAGTGCTGTGGCAATGCTGATCATTGCACCTGCGCAACTAGCAGGTTACATACATTATTATTCAACGTATGAAAGATAATTATATATAATACATCTACATGTGAAGTCGGGGTGCTTATAACATATAAGCACTATTTTAACATCATATAGCTATTATTCAGTTGGATTAGATCTCGACAACTCGGTGCTCTCTATAATGGTAGAGTATCGTTACTTATGATCTGTATCGTGATGTGATATGATGAAGTGTCTGTTTGTAAAATTGAAATAACCGTTTTTTACTACGTACATATGAATTTAAACACGGTACTTACGCCAAAATATTTTATTACATTTTTCGTCTGTCTGTCTGTTTGTTCCGGCTAATCTCTGAAATGACTGGACCGATTTTGACGGGACTACCAATAAAAGTCCCGTAATAAGCTACCGACCCGGTAGCTGATGTAATAAGGAGTAACGCGAGTACAGCAAGTATTAAATGAATCAACAGATATTGTTATTACAAAACAAACAACTGTTACTGCTCAGTACTTTTTTTTAAATAATTAAACTGCCTAATAAATTGAAACCCCACCCAGGGCCGTCTTTCACCTATTAGAGGTCCTGGGCACGTTAGAATAAGGGGGCCCCTATGACCATAGTAATAAAGCACTATTTTGTTAGAATAATAATAATAATATATTTATTTGTCAGAATATGGTATGTACAATGGTGGTAAGTATATATAATATATGTTTCATCATATTCTGCTGTTTCCAGCGTACAAATATTAAATCAATCAAGTCATTATAAATTCTAAATATTACTCATTCACCATATTACTCAAATATTACTCATTACTCATTCATAGAATAGACAAAGTTATTTTTTAACATAACTCTTGAGAGATATATAAGGATGCCTACCTTCAAAACAAACCAGGCAAAAACAAGCATTTATTAAGACTGATTTTCTGGCGAGAGTAGAGTAGCTGTCGGTTATCTTTTAGTAATGGAGTTGGGACTAGACTAGACTAGGGGGCCCCAAACAATCGCGGGGCCCTGGGCCCGTGCCCAGTGAGCCCTGTGGCACTATAGCCTGGGATTTAAGGGGCCACCTGAGGGCTGCCTACCTAAAGGTAAGTCACCCATACTCGTGTACATGAACAGCACTTTAAATTTTTTATCGTGTGCCACCTATGTACTTATTAGTTGTCATTCCAGAGTAATATGGTATCATGAAATTTATCCCGTAATTCATTGCCCAATCCCACCCTACAACCAAAACACAGCCTACAAAATCAAACTGCTTGGCGCCGGAAATAGGTGAGACTGAGGTACCAACTCAGGCGACTTTTTACAATCTATGTATCTCTGGTAATTAATCTACACTTCCCTGGTTTTGTAAATGGAGGCACCTAAATAATAATATACGAAAATGAATATATCCTAAAAGTGCCGACTATTACTATAGTACTATTACTACAGAAATAATACATGGTCATATCACCTTTCTAAATATATATAACTCAAAGGTGACTGTCTGACATAGTGATCTATCAACGCACAGCCTAAACCACTGGACGGATCGGGCTAAAATTGGGCATGCAGGTAGATGTTATGACGTAGGTTAAGAAAGGATTTTGATTAATTCTACCCCCAAGGGGATAAAATAGGGGATGAAAGTTTGTATGAAACTTTGTAAATTTTAAACCGATCGGGCTGAGACTTTGCATGCATAAAGCTACTATGACGAAGGCATCCCCTAAGAAAGGATTTTGATATTTTTTAAATTGACTGATTGATTGAACTAAATGAAACCTTCCCTGGTTTTATTGTTTCCTTTCTTCGTTTTTATTTCGGCTGATTCTAGAATAGAATTCTAAAAACAGATTGAAATTCAAATTCAAAAATCATTTATTCATGTAGGACACTTTAACCGCTTATGAACGTCAAGTTTTTACATTATAATTTTTTTCTACCGTCCAGTTCGGTATATATCCAATTGAGAAGAACTGGCAAGAAAC